ATTGGTTTAATTGATTCTGAAATAATTTCACTCATAATATTATTTGGTAAATGGAAACTGTTTAAATTTTGATAAATTTGTTTTAACAACAAGTGATCAGCAAGTAATGGTTGAGTTTGATCATTTTCTATTGTGAATATTTGTTTTGCCATTATTTGAGTGGTTGTTTCAAACAATTCTTCATTTTTGTGGATTTGTTGGCATAGTTGATTTTTATCATCTATTTCATTATATTTTTTTAAATTTTCATAAATGAATATAAAAAAGTTTTCATTTATTGATTCTTTATAATATAGTTGTTTAAATTGATTGTAGTCTAATGTTGATAGTGTGTCTTTGTTGATATCTGGATATATTTGATTAATATATTTATAGAATAGCGATAGTAGGTGTTCATTTGATATTAATTGATTGATTTGATCTTGTGCATCTATTTCTTCAACCTGATATAGATGTTTGAAAGATTCTGGATTGTTTATAATTGAATCTTTTGATTGTTGGTATGGTGTATATATTTCATTTGATGGAGGTGGGATAATCAATGTATTATCGATTATTGGAGTTAATGATGTACATATAATATTTGCAATTTCAATTAATAATGTTCCATCATGTAACATTATTTTAATGGTGCCGGAGTATGAGTATGAGTCAATTCTTGTTTTCATTTCAGAGTATACATAAACTTCTGAATGTTGATCTGATGGTATATTTGATGAATAGTATTTCAAACCTTCGATTCTATCTAATACAATTTGACATTGATGTTTTACAAAACCTAACATACCATGTAAACAAGTATCTAATATGGCAGCATTAAAGAATGACTTCATTGTATCGTTGTTTACCAAATGATTATATTCTTTTTGATTTTGAATTTCATTTAAAGACACAGTTGAAAGAGAGCAGTTGTTTCCAATATAGCACTCATTTACCCCTTGGAATAATCCTTTATATCCTAACCCAGTTTTGATTTTAATTGATTCATAGAGTTCTGATTTTGATAATTTGGTAAAACTACATTTCTTTTTTAATTTGTCAATATCGACTTTATTAATTTCATTTCCATGTTTGAATAAACTAAAATTAGCAGTTGAGCATAATACCCATTGATTTGTTGTTGTGTCTTTGAAATGAGACTTGAAATTATACTCATTTTTTGAAAGTGTATTTATTGTTGTTTGTAGAGATTGATTAATGCCATCTTGTAAAACTAATGGAGTTCTAAATTCTATTGAACCAATTGTAATATCTTGATTTTGGAAGGAGTTGAATATGTTTGTAATATGACCACATCCTGGGAAATAGTATTTGCCTTTTACTTGATGGCCTTTTAACCACTGGAATGGTAACTTTTTAATATCGATAAATGTTTGATATGATTTGGATGGTGATTCATTTGAATTGCCAAGATGTTGAATTGCAGGTCCTTCATTTTTAATTCTTTCATTTGAAAGATGAATTTTAAAATACATTTTATCATCCCATTGATACAAAGGTAAATTATTTTCATTGATAGATTGGTTTAATTGTGATTTGAAATTTATGTCATATGAGTTGTTTACATAAAGTGTTGAAATTGTTTTTAAGAATTCTTCATAATCGTTTTTCTTTTTGTGTAGTGGTGAATAAATAGTTACTTTTTCACCATTATTAAAATAAGGTGATTGTTTTGATTTCATTTGATTTAAATAGAATGATAGTGTTGGGTGTGGAGCGACTTCAACAAATGTGATTTCGTTACCATAGTTGTTTTCTTCAATATATTTATATATGTTTGAAACGGTTTGTGTGAATCTAACTGGTTGAAGAACATTTTCGAAAACATACTCTGCATTGAATGGTGTTGTTTCATGATTAAATAAGTTGGAAGTGACTGTTGAAAATACAGGTGTTGTTGATTGTTTTGAATTAATATTTAATGAACAAACCTCATCTTTAATCATTAATTGACTTGATGTATGGAATGATGATAATGAACCAAGCATTGCACAAAATATTTCTTTTGATTTTAAATCAGCTGATATTTCATTTAATAGATGTTCTTTACCAGCGATTACAATTGACGATGGTGAGTTGAAACAAGCAAATTCGATCGATGGATATTTCAATGAGTAATTTTTAATATATTCTTCGGCACTAATATTAATAGATAGCATTCTACCAGTACCAGTTGTTCTATTCTGAGCTACTGATCTATGGTATACTAAATAGCATAATGTTTCAAAGTCGATCATACCTGAGCAATATGGAGATGATACTTCTCCCAAAGAATGACCTACGATTAAATCTGCTTTGATACCCCAGTGTTTATATAGTTCAAATAATGATACTTGAATCATTACATTTAATGGCTGTGCAAGAATTGGTTCATGTATTGATATCATATCTTTGTCATCAATTGATCTAAGTTTTTCTAAAACAGAGTACCCATAGTATTTGAAAAGTTCAGCATCAAATTTATCTACCCATTGTTTGTAAATTGGTTCATTTTCGTATAGTTCCAATGCCATTTTATTATATTGGGATCCTTGACCACAAAGTACAAAAACTGTAAATGGCTTCTTATTTTTAACTATAATGTTTGAAATTGTAATTGACTTTGATGATTTTATTTCATTTTGTTTATCATTGAATTCATCCCAATTACTTGCAATAATAACTGATCTTTGGGCAAGCGAAGTTGATTTATATTTGATTTGACTGTTTACAAATTCATTGAAATCCAATGTTCCTTGTTGCTTGTTTACCATTTGTTTGTAGTTATCTGATGATATTGATGAGTTTGATGAGAATGGAATTAAATATTTTTTGTTTGTAATATACTCATTTTGAACTATATCAAGATTGTACTCTGATAAAACAATACAACAATTTGAACCTTTAAATTATTTAAAACAGTAAAATATTAGTATATTATATAAACAATTATACTTAAAATCACATACCAGTAATACCAAAGTTATTGATCGCCATAACAGTATTCTTTTTTACAAATGGAGTGAGTTCAGTTACTACTTTTAGACGCCATTCATCGAATTTGATATCCGGATTTGGTGATTTAAAGTTTATGTTATGAGCAAATGATTTGTTTTTATACATCACACAACATTTGATTAATGCCATTACACCAGATAATGCTTCACTGTGACCAATATTAGACTTGATAGATCCTATTAAAATATTATTATTTGATTCACTGAATACTCTTGAAATACCCTCTAACTCTATCGGATCACCAGTTGGTGTACCAGTACCATGACATTCAAAGTAATCAATATCTGAAGCATTAACTAATCCGTTAGTAGACTTAATTGCAGATTTAATATTTTCATATTGAGATGACTTTGATGGTTGATAAAAATTTGCTTTATCATAACTACCATCAACATTTGAACTTGATCCGTTTATAACACAATAAATATTATTACCATCTTTAATTGCTTGTTTTAAACTCTTCAATACAACAACACCAACACCTTCAGATCTTACATAACCATCAGCATCAGATGAAAATGAGTGGCACTTTCCAGTTGGACTAATTATACCCATTTGTGAAAATGATTTTGAAATATTGGGATCTTGAAAAAAATAACAAAAAATAAAATATTAAAAATAAATAAAAGATAAATAAAAAATAAAATACATACCTAATATTAAATTAACACCACCTGCAATAGAGACATTTGAGGTACCATCTTTAATTGACTTATAACCAAGATTAATTGCATTTGATGACGAACTACATGCAGTATCGATTGTAAGTGATTCACCACGAAAATCAAAATTAAATGAAACTCTGTTTGCTAGTGCATGGGTAGAGGACCCAAATATATTACTTTGGATTTCAAAATGTGATTTGTTTAGGTTACTATAATCCGTTGTAGTTGAACCTATAAAAGTACTTGTATTTGAACCTCTTAATGTTAATGGATCTATACCAGCATCTTCGAGTGCTTCCCATGTACACTTTAATAGTAATCTTTGTTGTGGATCTATTGAGCTGACATTATCATCACTTGGATTGATACCAAAGAAAACTGGATCAAAAGACTTCCATTCATCGAGCGGAATGAGACCAGCATATTTAGAAACGATATCACCAGCTATGCTGTAATTATCAGACCACCTTTCCGATGTTTCTACAATACCATCGAAACCATTAACCAAACTGTCCCATAGTTGATTAGTTTTTGAAATTGATTTTGACAAACTACCACTTGGTACTCTAAAACCTACACCAATAACTGCTATCTCTGTATCACTATTATTATTTTTTATATTGTTCATTTTTTAATAAAAAAAGCTTTAGTTATAATAAATAACTACAAATTTAAATCAAATTTTTTATATATATATTTTAAAAAAAAAAAAAAAACCATTTTTATTTTATATAAATAAAAAAATAAAAAAGTAAACCCCATATTACTCCATTAAGAATCTTAAATAATGAAAACAAATCTGTTTTTCTTGTTTTATTATTGTTGATTAATACACAAAAATATTAACTTTTAATAATAATAGAAGATATTAATAGATTTAAAAAATTTTAAAAATAATAAAAAAAAAAAAAATTATTTTTAAAAAAAAAACGCACATGTTAAATTAAATTTGATAAAATAAATGATTAAATTATATATTGTAAATATTGCCCAATCTTATAATTAGACAATTATCCTACCTTATTTTTGTGATATATTTAGAAATTAATTTTAATAATTGCATAAAGTTTGTATTTAAAACAAAAGATATTCTTAAATGAAAACGATAAAAACAATATTTATTAATATTATTTAATTTTCTCTTTTAAATGTCCATATTACCTCAAATGGGGTGGAAAATCCCAAAACTCTTATTATTCCCTTTTCAAATTTTTACTATAATTGTATCAAAAACCTATCTATTTAAATTTAATAAACTTTAAATAAAACAAATTAAATTTAATAAACTGAATTAAATAAAAAGAAATGTAAAAAAAAAAAAAAGATTTGTTTATTTTATTAAGATGAAGCAGGTGTTTGTGGAGTTGAAGGTGCCATTGAAATTTGTTGTGGGGTTGGGTTTGGTGTGGTTTGTTTTGATAAATAATTCTTTACAAGCTCTTCAGTCATTGGTTGGTAATAGAAAGATGCATGTCTCTCTTCTTCGAAACCAGTTGAAGTATTTGATTTTGAAACTTGGTAATCCTTAATGAGATTTGTAGTTGTATCATTAAGGAATCCTAATGGGTCTTTTGAAAGGTTTTCCATGAAATCACGCTTTCTTTTATGAAGATAAATCTTTTGAATATGTTGATTAATCTCTTCATTGAAAGCTGCAATATCTTTTCTAAGGTTACCATGAACATTGAATGGTTCATCAACTTCAACTTGGATATCATATGCTTGTTCATAATCTTTTGGATCTCCTGAAAGATGCAAAGTATAATTAAATTCTAATGGGTCTGGTGGTGATAAATGTTCTCTTAATAATTGAGGTATTTGATTAAATTGTAATTCATCTAAATTAAATATCTAGAAATATGATAATATAAATTAATATTAATATTATACTATATAAAATAGTTATTTATCAACAATAATAATAATGTTGTTGTGTTGACCTACATTCTTTAAATTTTCATCACATGTAATTTTCTTTGTATCTGGGTCTAGTAATGTATTAGATTTGATATAATGCCATAATGCTAAAATAATTCTTGGTTTTGTATCTGTATGAATATTTAATAATTGTGAAAGTCCACCCAAAACCTTATATTTTTGTGGTACATGATCTAAATACATTAAAATCTATTATAATAATAATAACAATAATAATGTTAGTTTATGTATACTAATAATAGTGATGATTTGTATATTAATAAACTTACTTTTACATCGAGTTCTTGATTACCATTTCTTTTAATTTCAAAACCATCAGTTTCTGTAAAAGTTTGAGATTTATCCCATTCACAAGTATCTCTATGACCAATTTGAATAAATACTTTTTTAAAGAATGAAGAGAACTTTTTTTTGGTTGGAGTTGGGACAAGGAGTGAGGAGGTTTTTGGAGTTTTATTTGTTATTGGGAAATCGTGATTACCAATTTCATTATCTTCTAATAATCTACCTTCAACACGTAATGTCCACGAAGATCTTTCCGAGACTGATGCTAGTGATTTGTTATCTAAATGATAATATGATGTTTGATTTGCATATGTATTATAAATTGATAAACGGAGTGTTTTAATGTTTTTATTTGATGTTCTTCTGGTAGACTCTTGCAAGTCGATTAAACGTTTATTAATTGAACTATCCAATTTTTCTTCAAATTCTAATAATTGCTGGAATAACAAACACTCTGGTGCAAATGACATGATCTCTTCAACGGGTAATGTAACCGATGGTGGTAATGTTGGTAACCCTGATCCTCCAATTTGACCACTATTAATAACTTTATTTACAACTTGGTTTGGTATATTAGTTGAAGCGATTGGTAATTTAGCTTTCTTTTTTTTTGATGATGTTGGGGTTGTGCCATTTTCTTTTTTTGACATTTTTAATTAATCTATTATAATAATTTGATTTTGATTTTGAAATTTATTTAATTATTAAATTTTTTGTTTTTTTTTTTTTTAAAATTTTTTAAAAATAGATATAGTTATATTTTATACAAATTATTTTATTATTTTAATGTTTATAAAAAATTATTTCTAAAATTGTAAATTATAGATTGATTCCAATATTTATTTATTTTAAAATAAAAAAAAAATAAAAAAAACTAATTTTGTAAAATTAATTAAAATCCTAGTTTTTTTTTATTTTTATATTGTTGGATCTTGTGTTTTTTTGGTTAGAATTAATTCCTTTGAAGAAAACAATTTATTTTTTCAAAATAATAATTCAAAAAAAATTAAAAAAAAATTAAAAAAAAATTTTAAAAAAAAATTAAAAAAAAAATTTTAAAAAAATTTAAAAAAAAAAAAATTTATTTCTAACTGAAAAAAATTTAATATTTTTTTATACATTTAAAATTTTACATTGTTGTTGTGGCAAAACCAACTCGATAAGTTTTTTTTTTTTTCATAGCTTTTAATAATCTTATTTTTAATAATATAGTTTTAATATTTTATAGTTTATATTTTATTTTACATTTTGGTTATTTATTAAAAATATTCAGTTATTTATTATATTCTTAAAGTTTCTTTGTATGTATTATTATTATAAATATCAATTTAATTATTTTATTTAATAGGCCAATTAAAAAAAATAAAAATAAAAAACCAGAAAAAAAAAAAAAAAAGAGCAAAATAAAAAAAAAAATAACAAAATAAAAAAACAATAAATAAGATAATCTATGACATAATAAGATTACTATTAATTATTATTAATTACAGTCTATCAATCTATATAATCACTCTCTTTCTTCACTAATCTCTATAAATAACAACACTCATCACTCCACACATACACACACATACACACATACACACTATAACATCCAATATAAATAATTTATTTTTATATTCATATAATTATTTTTTTTTTTTTTTTTTTTGTGTGTTAATTTAAAATACTGTGTGTTTCTATTATTATTATTTGATTTATATGCTGGATTACTATATTGTTTTTTTTATATAAAATTGTTGTTATATTATCATAAAATAAAAACCAACCACTTTTTTTTCAAATATTATATAAATTTAGCTATCTACTTAGTGTGGGTACCTCGTGTTTATCTCTTTTTCACTCTAAATTATCCAAAAGTTTTTTTTTATTTAATTTTTTATTTTTTTTTATTTTATTTTTTATTTTTTTTTATTTTTTAAAAAATAATTGTTTTTTTTATTTTTTTATTACTATTAAACCTATTAAATTAAATAATATTTTTAGTATTATTGCGTATTTATTTTATTTTTTTTGTACTTTTCTTTATCATAAACTAATTTCTAATTTTGTAATTATTTTTATTTATCAATTTTATTATTATAATTTAATTTTATAAACATTTAGGTATCATTAATATATTTATAATAGTCCCAATAAATCAAAATTTTTTTTTTATTATTTTTTTTTTTTTCAAAAACATAAATAAAATAGTTTTATAAATAATAAAATGTTCTCTACTAAAAATGGTAGTGATTCAGATGAGGAAAAAGAATTAATGGATGAAATTCAATTAAATCAACCTTTAAATATATCGTCACCGGGGCTAATCAATAATAATGACTCATCAGCAGGTTTAGAATTTATCAACCAAATGGAACAAGTCTTCAAAGCTATAGATACAGAAGAAAATGGTATAATTTCATTATCACAATTAAGACATGAGATCGAATCTTTAACTGGTGAGCCTTTAGATAACAACCCAACAATCGGTAAACTATTAAATTTCCTTAGAATTGTACATAGAAGCGAAGTTCAAAAGAATCAAGATGACGAAGATGACGATTATGTAAATTTAGATGACGACGAAGATAATGGAAATACTCTAGATGATAAATCTTTTGATGAACTATCATTCGAGAATTTAGAATTAGACGATAAAAAAATGGAAGAGGAAGATAATACATATATAGATTTTCAATCATTTATCGAATCAATGGCATCCTATATGGACGGAGGTGATCCTAAACTGTTAAGACAGCAAAGAATTGAAACTTTTAAACTCCCAAAATTCAAGGTACCATTGGAGCTATTAAAAAAATATAATATAACACCCAAATATCTATCACCAATGATCAGTAGCGCAAGTGGAAGTCCATTATCAGAAGGTGTCAACTCTGTCGGCTTGTTATCTCCCAACTCCACATCTCAATTCAGTCATACACAGGGCTTCAAAAATAACAGCGTAACTAACAGCCCATCAAAAAATAAATTTGGAAGATTATTTACATCCAAGCCAATAATAACATTTGATCAATTTACCCACTTGGTGACAAAACTAAATTATGGAAAGGAGATACCAAAACAAAAGCTATTAATGTATATACGTGACTTGCCAACTGACAAAGATGATTGCATTGATGCAAATTTATTTTTATCAAGATTTGGGGGATTAAATCATCCTATGAGCCCAAAACTAACCTATGATGGCGAGCAACAAGACGATCAATACAATATACACAGCCAAGGAAGTAGTCCACCAAACTCGACGAGCCATATCACTGGCAATAAAGGTCGTCTAAATAGTAGTGGTACGAACTATGGAACTAACCAATGGAATAAAAGCTCACAAATTGTAGACCAACTTCAAGACTCTTATAAAGTTTTAGAAAAAGAATGTGAATCTTTTCAAAGCGAAATATCAATGTTGGAAAAATCTCGTCAAGTATTGGAGCAAAATTTAAGAAAAAAGGACCAAGAAATTGATCGTCTTAGAAAAGATGCTAGGTTTGCAGAGGGTATGAGGGATGCCAACAAAGATCTCATGGTTCAAAATAATAACTTAAAGACCCAAATATCCAAGCTCACACTAAATGAAGATCTTTTACGTGAATCAATAGACTTGGAAAAAGATAAAGCTCGAGAACTTAACGAATCAGTTGTTTTAAAAGATTTAGAAGTTAAAAAATTAAAACTCCTATTAAAAACTCAACAAAACATTAATAATAAATTGGCAATGATGGTATCGTTCGATGACGGAAAATCTGGAAGTGGTAGCGGCAGTACGAGTCCAAATATAATCGTAGATGAAAAAGATAGAAATTTTACAAGTAGAAGAATCAAACCAACAATAGATAGAGCCAAGCAGGTACTCAGTAGACAAAAATCTGAAAAATTCGAAATTGATAAATATTCAACATTACATGCAAACAATAACTTTGCTTTATTTTTAAAACAACAACAATTATTACAACAACAACAGCAACAACAATCACCACCAATCACAAGCGGAACAAACTCTCCACAATCTTTACAATATGAATTTGAGCAATTACAACAACAACAATTTCAATATCCACAACAAAACGATAATAACAGCAATACTATAAATGAAGAACCAGAGTCTGAATTGGATTCATTAAAACAACAATTAAGCGGATTGGATGGTGGCTTCAATTTACCATCAGAATACGAAATTAATACTGATGAAAATAATTCTCTTGATGATTTAGCCAACACACCACTAAAAGATGGCAATAGTACATATCAATCAGAATCAAATTCGCCAATGCGTTCACAATCACCACTTACAATTAATAACAATAATTCATCAACAACCACAACAAATAATAGTAATGAAATTTTATTATCTAAAATATCTGATGGACCACAGCCAATTCACATGATGTCACCAATTAGCCCTAATATTTTATCTTCATCATACCAAAATTTATCAACAGCCTCACCAACTGTTACACCAAATAAAAATAACTCTATTAGGGTTTCAAGTCCATCAATTAAATCAACACCATCATCAGCACCAATGTTTTCAACCCCACCAGCAAATTCATTATCACCATTTAGTCTTACAAGTCCAAATGGTGGTAGTGGTTTCAAAAGTAGCGGTAATAAATATGGTACTATATCAGGTGGTATTTCACCATTTGTACAACAACAACAACAAACACAACAACAATACCAACCACTACACCAAGCATCTAGCAATAACCAGTCAATTAAATCACCACAACAGTTCCAGCAAAACCTTCAACAATATAATCAAATTAATTTTTCATCACCGACCCTAACAAGTTCGTTAAACTCAAGTAATAATAATATGCAACAAGTACAAGATCAATTTAATGTTGGTAGTATTCGTAGATTAAAGAAATCAGATTTAATAAGATTGCACACTGAAGAAATGGAGGAACAAAACGAATCAGCTCAATTAATAATTTCAGAAGCTGAAAAAGCTCTTGAAGAATTTAAAAAGAATAGTTCAATTGAAATGCAACGTATTCAAAAAATGTATCAAGAAGAAAAACAATCAAGATTTGCCATAGAAAAACAATTACAAAACCAATTGGATAAAAATAAAGAAATGGTCACTGGCAAAGAGCAATCCAGCACATGGGGAGGAATGCAAAACTTTTTTTCATTTGTTTCAAATTATTTACCCTCAACTTTATTTTGTAATTTATCAAATACAAGTTAATTTAATTAAAAATAATAGTAATATTAACAACAATTTTAAAAACATTATACACATATATTTAAAAAAAAAAATGTAATAATAAAGAAAAACAATTATTGTACAAACACTCATAATATAAAAATTTAAATTTACAATTAATAATAACATCTATATAGATCAATTATTTTTATTTTTATTTTTTTATTTATTTTTAGTTTTTCATTTAATTATTATTTATTTTAATTTTTTTTTTTTTTTCTTTTTTTTTTCTTTTTTGAAAATGATAATTAAAATTAAAGTTTTATCTTTAATGATGATGATTTTTTTTTTTTTTTTTTCAAAAAAAAAACTAAACAAATTTTAGTTTTTATTTTAATTTTATTATTAAAAAAATTAAAAATTCGATTTTAATAGAATGTGAAACTGGATAAAGAATTTTAATTTCTTTTAAAAAAAAAATAATTATATAACTTTTTGGATTATTATATAAAGTTAGAAAAAAAAAATTATTAAATAAATTTTTAAAAAAAATTTTTAAATTTTTAAATTTTTTTTTTTATTTTTTTTAAAATTTTTTAAAATTTTTTTTTTATATGAAAATAATAATTATTTTTCTATGTTGTTGTTATTTGGAAAATCTTATATAAATAACAGTTAAATATATTAGTAATAACCAAATCAATATCGCGTATACCCATAATTTTTTATCATCCTCAACTATATTGTTTTTAATTGAATTAATATAGCAGAATAAATAAATAACGAAAGTTTATAAATAACAATTTCAATACACAATTTTTTCTTTTTTATTTCTTTTTATTTTTTAATATATATATTATTTATTTTTAAAAAAAGTTATTAACTTAGCTTTATTTATCTCAATCACAACACCATCAATTTAATCTATTTTTAGTACCTTTTTTTTTTTTTTTTTCAAATTTCAATAAAAATTACATACAATATTTATTTTTTTTAATCAAATACAAAATCTATACAAATAATAAGATTAAATAATAGAATCACAATAACATAAATATCATAATAAGTATAATAGTACAATAGTAGCAATAGTTCATAGTTACATATTCAGTTCAAATGGAAACTACAAATTCAGCAAACCAAGAAAGACAACAACATGAAACTTTAAAAGATGATCCAACAAATACCAGCAGTGGAAAAGAATTCATAGCACATAGTAACAAACCACAGCCAAATGGACACAATAATCATCACGTTCACCATAGTCATCAACATCAACAACCACAACATCATTATCATAAAGAGAATCCCCATCAACAACAGCAATTACAACCACCAAAAGAAAACCCACAATCAGAACCAAATGTACACCAACCAGTTATCACTTCACAAATGCTCAGTAGTATAGTTCATAATGTTTCAAATATGGAGCATATACAATATAATAACTATGATATACCGTGGGGGTCAAAGAGTGTCGAAACATATGAAAAAATCGAACAAATTGGTGAAGGTACTTTTGGGTAAGATTGTCAAACTCTATTTCGATAAAATACTTTTATTAATAGTCATTTAAACTAATCTCCTATTATTTTAAATAATATAGTCAGGTTTATAAAGCAAAACATAAAGAAACTGGCGATATTGTTGCATTAAAAAAAGTTATTATGGACAATGAAGTGGAGGGCGTAAGTTATCAATATAAATAACCTTTATTTAAACAGAAAACATGTATTTATATATTAATTTTTTATATTTTTTTTTACCTCAGTTCCCAATTACAGCAATTAGAGAAATTAAAATTTTAAAGGAATTGCACCACCCAAATGTTATACATTTAAGAGAAGTTGTTACATCAAAAGCTAGCACAGCAAATAACCAAAAGGGAAGCGTATATATGGTATTTGAATATATGGATCACGATCTAAATGGTTTAATGGATAGTCCAGCTTTTAAATACTTCTCACCACAACAAATTAAATGTTACCTAAAGCAATTGTTAGAAGGTTTAGATTATTGTCACAGAAATAATGTATTGCACAGAGATATCAAGGGCTCCAACCTTTTGTTAAATAATAGTGGTATTTTAAAGCTAGCTGATTTTGGTCTCGCAAGACCCTTCAATAGTGCCGATAAGAGAATGACCAATCGTGTAATTACTCTTTGGTATAGACCACCCGAACTTTTATTGGGAGGGTCTCATTACGGCCCTGAAATTGATATGTGGTCTGTTGGTTGTATTATGGCAGAATTACTATCAAAGAAAACCCTGTTCCCAGGCAGAAACTCTATCGATCAATTAGATAAAATCTATCAAATCTGTGGCTCTCCAAATACTCAAAACTGGACCGAAGCCTCTGATCTGCCATACTGGGAAACTTTAAAACCAAAAAGAGAGTACCCACGTCAATTAAGAGAACATTACCAAAGGTAAATATTACATTACACTCACAAACCAATTGTACAAAAGTTTTATTTTATTAACACACAAATTTTTTTTAATTTATAGCGAAAATAAATTATATTTTACAAAAGAAGCATTTGATTTATTAGATAAGCTTTTATGTATGGACCCTAAAAAAAGAATAACGGCTTCAGAGGCTTTAGATAGCGCATACTTTTGGACCGAGCCATTACCATGTAACCCAAAAGATTTACCACAATATCCCTCATGTCACGAATATAGAAACAAAAAGAGAATAAGACAACAACAACAACCACAACAAGGCCAACCAGCTCAACAGCAAACAAACCAACAACAAACACAAAGCGCAAATTTAAATCTACAACAACCACCTCCACCAAACTACCAAGGCGGACATCACCAACCAAACTATCAAAACGGAAATACAAATATAAATTATAAAAAACAAAGAACCGATATAAACTATCAAACAAACCAAGGTGGCCCACTACAACCACCAGGCTATAATGGCAAAGCTCCATATGGTTCTCAATCAAATCCCCCTTCAAATCAATTTTCCAATCAACAAAATAAACCCCCTGCAAACAGAATACCCTCAAACCAGCCAACTCATAAAAATTTTCCACAAAACAGACCACAACAACAACCAAACCAACATAGATAAATTATAGGTATAACTATAAATATCTTTTATAATTAAACTATAAATAACAATTATTTAATATAATAATTTAAATAATTTTTATATCATTTTTAAAAAAAATTATACCATTTTCTTTTTTTTTTTTTTGTTTTTCTTTTTTTTTTCCAAATAATTTTATATTTTACAAATTAAATAACAATTTTACTAAATCCCTAAATACTTATAGTTTTTTAAAAAAAAATAAAAAATAAAGAATATTATGACAAAGTTTTCAAAATATCTCTTTAAATAAATATATTTTAGATTTTTGTTAAAGTTTTATTTAGTTTTTTATGTTTTTTTTTTTATAAATTAAAAAAAAAAAAAAGGAAGAGGGATTTGTGGGAGGAGAGGAATTTGAGTATTGATATTTTAAAACTAAAAGGTGAAAAATTATGGTTGTAATATATATTTAATACATCTTTGATATTTATTTATGAAAAAAAAAAGGATTATTTGTGTTATTATTATTATAATTTGTTTTAAATGTGAATATAATTAAAATAATGTTAACAATTGGTTTTTTTTTTTAATAAAAAAATAAAAAAGGTTATTTTGTATTGTTGTTTGTTGGTTTTGATTGTGGGACTACAACTTTGTTTTGTCTATAGAATTGGGTTTGTTGAGGTTGATTTGATCCACCGGTTGATGTTGTTGTAGTTGTGGTTTGTTGAGGTGATTGTTCAGAGTCAACATTATATGATGGAGTAGATAATATTTGTCTAAAATGTTCATCTGTGGCTATATTTGAAACAGTAGAGACGTTTTTGGCTTGATTTGTTGATGTTGTAGTGGTTGTGGTGTGTTGTTGTTGTTGTTGTTGCATTTGTTGTTGTTGTTGTTGAATTTGATATTGAATTTGTTGTTGAATTTGTTTATTTTCAACTGACAATGGTTTTTCAAGTGGTGGTTTTTCTCTTAACTAAAAAAAAAATATAAAGAGTTAATATTATCTTTTTATAGCAATAATAATTAATTTAATGACCTACTTTTCTAACAATAACCCAATCAAACATATAATCATATCTATAACCTTCTCTAACAAACATTTCTCTTAATAATTTTCTAAGGTAAAGGAAATCTGGTTTATCTTCAAATTTTAAGAATCTGGTATAATTTAAAAATGTTGCAAATTCATCTATTTAATTTAAAAAAAAAAAATTTTAAAAAAAACGAAAAAAAAAAAAAAAATTAGTTAGCTAAAAATATAGGTAATATAATAAATTTTGTTATACATACTTGGGAAACCAGTGCACAAAGTATCAATTTTGGTTTGAGCTTTTTTATCGCAAATCTTTTCGTATTTATCTCGTTTGGTGTAAGCTTTTAATCCTTGCCATGGTAAACTGCCTCTATTGAAATACATGAGAACGTAACCAAGAGATATCGA